CCGCCCTCTCAACTATACTTTCTGCCAGCCCCGGTGAATCCTTGGGCAAGCATCCCTTAATACTATCCTTCCTCAAGGGGGCTGCAAACATCAGACCGCCAACCGTGCACAGGTATCCATCGTGGGAACTACCACGAGTACTACAAGCTCTTACCAGAGCGCCCTTCGAACCACTCAAAACATGTGACATTCGCTATCTGACCAATAAGGTAGCATTCTTGGTAGCCATCACGTCAGCTCGGCGGATATCCGAGTTAGCTTCTCTCTCAATGAGGAAGGACCTGTGCCATTTTCACAGGGACAAGGTAGTCCTAAGAATAGACCCTTCATTCATTCCAAAGGTCAACTCCCTTTTTCACAGATCACAGTAAATAGTCCTACCAGACTTCTGTCCAAACCCAGCTCATCCCCTGGAGCAACAATGGCACACCTTGGACGTACGCAGGGCACTAAGACATTACATTTCACGCACAGCGGAATTCCGACGCTCGGAAGCGCTTTTCATATCCTTCACCCCTGCTACTAGGGGCCGGAAGGTCTCGTCCTCTACCATCGGTAGGTGGATTAGGGCATGCATCACGGGGGCATACCAGGCGGAGTCCTTGCAAGTCCCCAAGCATATCACGGCCCATTCCACAAGGAGTGCTGCCACCTCAGCAGCATGGGCCATGCAGGCTTCTATTGAAGAGGTATGCAGGGCAGCCACTTGGGCCTCGCCCTCTCCATTCATTCGTCATTACAAAATCGACAGGTACTCCTCTGCAGAGGCCTCCTTCGGTAGGAGGGTTCTCCAGCAGGTGCTAGACCAAAGTTGCACACGTGACCAGTCTATTCCCCAACCCAAGGGACAATAGGCTTTGGTATGTCCCACTGCGTGGATTATCCATCTCCAGTGCTGGAGAAGGGGCGTTGACTTACCTGAACGCCTTTTCTCAGCACGGAGATGGATAATCCACACCCACCCTTATAGACTAGAATAATAGGGTATATTTAGTGGAGCCAAAACGTCTTACTGTCAGTCAATGGCTGCGCTCGAGTCAAGACTGGAGGATCATGATCCAAGACGGGGCGTGGCAACTTTGGCTGACTGATCTGATTGGCCAGGAATACAGTCTCAACCCACTGCGTGGATTATCCATCTCCGTGCTGAGAAAAGGCGTTCAGGTAAGTCAACGCCCCTTCTGATAGTTGCCATCTTAGCATTATTCTAGCCATTTCTAGGAAACATTTTTTTAGTTTGAAAATCTGAAATAAGTAATGGTTCACATATATGGTTTTAAACAAAATTCTAAATAAATGAGTTTTTAGCATACCAACATTATACCAGCAGAATTAATTCCACCAACTAGAGAGTTAATGGACTTAGTTTAAGTGGATAGTGCTGCACATATAATTAAAAAATGAGTTTACTGGCTTGCTTGAAAAAATTCTACATTCTGAAAAATAATTAGATATTCAAAACCAAGGAAGCTTGCTTTGTGCATGTTCATCCTTTACGAAGTGTAGAAGTTAATGTTTGCCTTTTTTCCATAAGCTCTTCCTCCAATTTGCCATGCTAGCCTTCAAAGTAGTAACTTTTATTTTTTCCTCTCCAATTTTAATCATAATTGTATAAACAAGAATAAGAACTTCACCCAATTTTGTATGCAAGAGATTTCTATTTTTTAAATGGCTTCTAGGTAAAATGGTTTTGAAGCTGAGAAGAGCTTTGTAAGAGAGTGGATGTTTGCCTCTTAAGAATAAATAACCCATTAACTATGGATACAGATTTGAGATGCCTCAAATACCTGTTTGAATAGTAGTAATCCAAAATAAGTAGAGACAGTATTTTGCCTATTGCCAGATGAGCATCCAGGCAGATAAGGATGATTTGGCCAAATCACTTCCTTATTGTTGGGTACTTACCATCTCTATATTTAGGGTTTTAGAACAGATGGACTCAGATATATATTGGTGTATGGCTGAAAGTTTATATCTGTAAGAACGAGTATGCTGTTACGGGTTCTAATGTTAGAAAGATTTTAACTGACCTAGAATCATTTTAAAATGAAAATTACATATTGGATCGACAGATTGTTACATAGAAAGTCATATTACTACCTATTCAGAGATTTTTTACTGGAAAGAGACCGGCAGTCCTCCAGTTTGAAAGGCCAGGTGCAGTTTGCCACATTTGCTGAAATCTTGCAGATTTATTTGATGATACCTTGGCAACAGTAGCTCACAAAAATGTTTCTGAGAATTGATTGTGTTCTGCTGTTCTTTAAAAATGAATAACAAAATCAAAGGGAGACTAGTCTTGCAGTTTGACTTTGATAATGTTCAGATACTTGGTGTTCTTGATAGTTTTTAGGCCAGTGTGTTGTATTTCTTGTTATTTAAAGAACAGCCTTTCAGCATGTATCTGAAGTAGATTAAAGTAGAAGAAACCATCATCAAGTGTTCAGACATAATATATGAAATGTGTATTTTCCGATTCAGGTTTTATCTAGGTTTCATTTAGTTAAAGAACCTTAATAGAAATGGCGCATCTCTTAATTACTTCCATCTCAATGTCATGTCTCAGTGTGATAAATTTATTTTATTGAATTGTAACTTTTTAAATAGTTGGCAATTTAGAAGTGAATGAGAGCTAGATTGAATTAAAATGTTTATATAATTTTGTGCAGAACAATATAGGAAGATAAAGATGCTGTTTTGCTAGTGGCTTCAGGCTTCTTAACGTCTGGATTTGAAATCTTTTTGGAATCCCTTTTTGTGAAATAAGAAAAGAACATAACCGTAAGCATTTAGTTAGGGAATCATTTTAATTTTGATACTTCTGGCTTTTTCAAGTTGTCACATATATATTAGAGTTGCAGAAAGTGTTTAAACCTAGTTTTAACGTATAGAAATGTCCAACAAACAGTAATAGCTGAAGACTGAGAGCAAAATGAATACATTACAAAGTTAGATGACGATGATGATGATGATGATGATGATGATGTTATCCATTCAATCAGTCTGACTCTTCACGATTCTATGGACCAGGTCTCTTCACATCTTTGGATCTTGCACTACTTCTTTTGAGTTTTTCTATCCTCTGGCTTGTGTCAGCTTTCATGGTGTCTGTCCAGCCACCGTGTTCTTTGACAGCCTGGTTTCCTTTTTTTTTCCTACCGCTAATTCTTCCAAACATAATTGTTTTTTCCAGTGAATTTCCCTGCATGACATGGCCAAAGTAAGTCAGACTCAGTTTCATGATTTTGCCTTCTTGTTACATGTCCGGTGTTACGGGCTCAAGTATTTGCTTGTTAGTCATCTTTGCTGTCCAAGGAACAAAATTATATAATGTATAATTATATAATTGTCTTGTGAACACACATTCATTTCTCTTGTGAAACATCTCTCTTAAATTGCCACAGAGCATGTATTGAAGGGCTTCCCTAGGAAAGGGGTGGGAGGATCCATCTGGCATTGATTTAAGACAGGACATATTTTATGAGGGATGGCTTGCTCATAATCCTGTTTTTTACGTCAAGAAACCTTGAAGACTCTTTCTTAGAAAGAGCAGGTAGAAACAATGTCTCATGTTTGTAATGTGAGCTAGATTATAGTTTTGAGTTTCTAATTATAATATTTAAAGTGACCTTTTGCTGACCTGTCAAAGCTCAAAACACCACAGGGTTCTCTGTAGCCATGGATCTCTTGCATAGAATTGTCTTTTTGTTTTGCTTAATGTAGTTACTGTTTATATAATGTCAGTGTAAGAATTGCAATATTTAGTTTTTTTTCTGAATTGGGTTTTCTTTACTTTAGAAAATGTAATTGAATATAAGAGCAGTAGTTCAAATAGTCCAACTTTAGTTCTGTCTGTACAAATAAGCTGATAAATATTAAGGTTTAGATGCTGATACCAGCATATGTCAATCTTTATTGCCAAGCATAACAAGCTCCTGACATGCATCAGGTTGTTGAACCAAATAACTGAGTTCAGTTTCCTATATTCTTCCTTCTCTGTGCTCTGACTTCTTTTCAGTATTTTGATCTTGTTTAAGTTCTTTTTTCTCTAGCCCTCTGTTAATATTTTTACCACCTTATCCTCTTTTATGCTCAATAATCATTTCTTAGAACTTCAATAATAATTTTCCAGAAAGAGTTCTAACTTCAAAATGGGCATCTTTCAAGATCACAATGCTTATTTATAATTTAAGTGAGTATTATTTCTAGAAAGATTTAAGCAGTGTGCAGTTTGAGTTCAAAAGAGTTAAAACTTAACATACTTAGTGCATGTTCATAATTATCAAGTTAATACTAATGTGTTCATGCTAATAGCCCACCCTCCCCAAATGTGATTGCTTTTATATTTGCTGTTGCACTTTTTAAATATATCCAAACTGGAAGTTGATAAAAAGATTGCTTTTGTAAAATTTTGATTAGCTTATTAAAATAAAAGTTATTGTCTCTTTGGATTTCAGAAGTAATCAATGGAAATTTTAAGGTAGAGGATTGAAGCAGCAATATCAGTTGTGTTAAGTAGGGGATGAATGGACTTCATATGCAAAGGGTAACTATTGTTTAAAAAATAATTTGTACTCTTACATTCATAAGAACTTACCAGCTGTAATGGTTGGGATGCTTGATCATGATTAGGATAGCTTAAGTTCATGCCCTTCAACTATGGAAAGTCACTAATAAATTTAGATTAATTAGTGCACATCAGCTCAAACTAACTCACAGATTTGGGTTATAAGATTAAATAAACAGGAGGAGAAAAGATGGGATCTAAATATAACAAAATAATGTGTATGTTTCTTAGTATTCTTTTGTTCTACGATGATTTGGAATACAAATTTCTACAATTGTATTACTAGAAAATAAGTAAATATATTGATTTTAAAGTTATTTTAAATTATTTAAATTGCACGATAACTTTATAAAATATTGGTAAAAAAGAAGGGCTCAGAATTCATTCCCTTTTTCAGAAAGCTATAACTAGTCTTATCTTTGTTTTGTTGCAGTGAACACCTACCTCTTCATGGTGCAAGCCCAAGGTATCATGATACGTGAAAATATGAGAACGATAGGAGCCCAGGTTTATGAACAGGTGGTCCGCAGTGCCTATGCCAAGAGGAACAGCACTGGAAATGACTCTGGTATGTTTTGAGAAAGTGGGTAAATAAGGACTTGAGGGCCTTTCGGAATATCAAAAGGGAGGGAGGTAATGTAAATTTGGAGGAAAGGTTGTTTAATAAGCTAGGTGCCATGACAGAGAAGGCAAATCTCCTGGGAACTATCAAATGCAGTTCTCCAGCTGGTGGAATCCGCAACATGACCTCGCTGCCAGGACTAATGGGACAGGCTGATATAACTAGGGAGAGGCAGTCCGTCATATATCCCAGTTCTATGTCATGAAGTGAAACCAGTGGACCCCCAAATCCAAAGCACTCAGTCCTACCAGTGTCAGCTGAAGCCTGTTGTTCCTCGTCCAGACCCTAGCAGCCTCCAAGCATAAGAATAAGACATTCATGCCGAGGTGGCACAGCAGTTAGAGTGCAGTACTGCAGGCCACTTTAGCTGACTGTGTTCAGCAGGTCAGCGGTTCAAATCTCACTGGCTCAAGGTTGACTCAGCCTTCCATCCTTCCGGGGTAGGTAAAATGAGGACCCAGATTGTTGGGGACAATGTAAATATATATACATTGCTTACTGGTGTACACCGCTTAGAGAGTGCTTGCACTTAAAGCGGTATATAAGTCTCATAAATAAATAAATGCCATCATCTTATTCACTAAAGATGGGGATATATATTTGAGCATGTCAGAATGCCGATGATACCTCACCCCATAGCAACAAATGAGTTCACACAGGGATCTCATGTAGGTGATAAGAAGGAAAGGACAAAGCACCAAATCCTGGGATTGGTGATTGGTCCACCCCAATCATCACTAAGTGGTGGTGGAATTGGTCATAAAGGACCAAACAATCCATTTCCAATCCTCTCAGCAGATCCAGAAGGATATCATGGTCAATGGTATTGAAAGCCATTAAGAGCTCCAGTATGACAAGGATGGATGCACTACCCCCATCCTGTCCATTCCAGAGGCCATCCAAAAGCACAACCAATGCCATTTCTGTCCTGTAGGTTCTGAATTCTGATTGATAAGGATCTTGACACATAGCCAAATGTCTTTGAAAATTACTTTAAAAGTAGTAGTGCAGCTGAAAAACCAAAGTGGAAGACACTATTTCTTCGAAAATTAACACTGGCTTCATTATTCCTCAGCTATTTAATAAGAACAGCAAAAGTCCTGGTTTGTTCAGCATTTTCTCTCTTTTCAACTGGCTTAGATGGTAATAATAATAATAGTAAAGTTGGAAGGGACCTTGGAGGTCATCTAGTCCAACCCCCTGCTCAAGCAGGAAACCCTATACCATTTTGGACAAATGGCTGTCCAGTCTCTTCTTAAAAACCTCCAGTGTTGGAGCATTCACCGCTTCTGGAGGCAGGTTGTTCCACTGGTTAATTGTACTAACTGTCAGGAAGTTCCTCCTTAGTTCTAGGTTGCTTCTCTCCTTGCTTAGTTTCCACCTGTAACTTGTCCTGCCTTCAGGCGCCTTGGAAAATAGCTTGACACCTTCTTCTTTGTGGCAGCCCCTGGAACGCTGCTATCATGTCCCCCCTCGTCCTTCTCTTCATTAAACTAGACATACCCAATTCCAGCAACCGTTCCTTATATGCTTTAGCCTCCAGTCCCCTAATCATCGTTGTTGCTCTTCTCTGTACTCTTTCTAGAGTCTCAACATCTTTTTTACATCGCGGTGATCAAAACTGGATACAGTATTCCAAGTGTGGCCTTACCAAGGCATTGTAAAGTGGTGTTAACACTTCAAGTGATCTTGATTCTGTCCCTCTGTTAATGCAGCCTAGCACTGTGTTGGCCTTTTTGGCAGCTGCAGCACACTGCTGGCTCATATTTAGGTGATTGTCCATTAGGACTCCGAGGTCCCTCTCACAGTTACTACTATTGAGCAAGGTACCCCCTATACTATACTTGTACATTTGGTTTTTCTTGCTTAAATGTAGAACCTTGCTTTTTTCACCATTGAATTTCATTTTGTTAGATAGCGCCCAGTGTTCAAGTCTGTCCAGATCCTCCTGTATCTTAAGCCTGTCTTCTGGACACGTCAGGTGACGCGAGTTTGACACCCATCTCCTATGTTTACTCTGGACATCTCATTGTATTTAGAGGGCTATGCTGCCTCTGAACTCATTCACCAACCACCTTCTTTGTTTTTACATGTAATTTTCTCATGAAAATCAGCATATTGTCACATGAACATTCACTGGCTCATTCATAAGAAAGCCACAATAATTTCATTAGAAATGAAATACTAAAATTAAAAAATAAGCATTCTGAGTAATATGTTTTATATCAAGGAAATTCATGAGTTAAAATTCTAGTTGTCTAAAATATGCATTATTCAGATCTATACAAAGTGTAGCTATCATACAAATTAAAATAAAAAAACAGAAAAAAGGAATTAGTGGTTTGTTATTGATAAGAATATATATGTAAGTACAATAAATTTGCTAATATAGATACTAATGGAGTGCCTTTTATTGTCTAATTTCAGTTTCATATTGGCCTCCTTCACGGTGAAATATGAGCATACTGCTACAATTATTAGACATTCTGATAGTTGAACTCTTTACACTGTGACCTTGGAAAAAATAGAGGACAATCTAAATTTTGGAGAAACTAATTAGAATCTTTTTATTTTACTTTAGTTTGCATGTCTTCAAGGCTTCATATGTTAGGTTAGAACAAGAAAAATATTCATCTTCAGTGTTAGGAAATATACTTATCACACAAGGGTAAACAGTGCCCCAGGGCTCTGTTCTGGGCCCAGTACTCTTCAACATCTTCATCAACGACTTGGATGAAGGGATAGATGGGGAACTCATCAAATTTGCAGACGACACCAAGCTGGCAGGAATAGCCAACACTCCAGAAGACAGGCTTCAGATACAGAGGGATCTGGACAGACTTGAACACTGGGCACTAACTAACCAAAATGAAATTCAATGGGAAAAAACAAGGTTCTACTTTATGCAAGAAAAACCCAAATGCACAAGTACAGCATAGGTGGCACCATGCTCAATAGTAGTAACTGTGAGAGGGACCTCGGAGTCCTAGTAGACAATCACCTAAATATGAGCCAGCAGTGTGCTGCAGCTGCCAAAAAGGCCCACACAGTGCTAGGCTGCATTAACAGAGGGATAGAATCAAGATCACGTGAAGTATTAATACCACTCTTTAATGCCTTGGTAAGGCCACACTTGGAATACTGCATCCAGTTTTGGTCACAACGATGTAAAAAAGATGTTGAGACTCTAGAAAGAGTACAGAGAAGAGCAACAAAGATGATTAGGGGACTGGAGGCTAAAACATATAAGGAACGGTTGCTAGAATTGGTATGTCTAGTTTAACGAAGAGAAGGACAAGGGGGGACATGATAGCAGTATTCCAATATCTCAGGGGCTGCCATAAAGAAGAGGAATTAAGCTATTTTCCAAAGCACCTGAAGGCAGGACAAGAAGCAACGGGTGGAAACTAATCAAGGAGAGAAGCAACCTAGAACTAAGGAGAAACTTCCTGACAGTGAGAACAATTAATCAGTGGAACAGCTTGCCTCCAGAAGCAGTAAATGCTCCAACACTGGAAGTTTTTAAGTAGAGACTGGACAGCCATTTGTCCGAAATGGTGTAGGGTTTCCTGCCCGAGCAGGGGGTTGGACTAGATGACCTCCAAGGTCCCTTCCAACTTTACTATTATTATTATTATTATTATTAAGGCATTTTAAAAACTGTTATGTAAATAACTGCAGCTAGCTGGAACATTTGTCATGAACAACAACTTAGAGCCAGGCTTTCCCTATGGCTTCCCTGGGTCATTGGAATTCTCTTCTTTCTGAAACGAAGAGCATTTTATGTTTTGGAAGCAGGTGAAGACCATTCTGTTTTGTTTGGTCTTCAGCTGATAGATTGAAGTTGTTGAAAAGATAAACATTCCTGTTAGTTTTGACTTGATACCTGTTACTCCTTTTGGTTATTATGTTATTATTTTTATGTTTTACTTGCACAGAGTCTTGCAAAATAATTGGTATATGCCAGTGGTGGCGAACCTATGGCACGGGTGCCAGAGGTGGCACTCAGAGCCCTCTCTATGGGTACATGCGCCGTTGCCCCTGTCCTAGGCCTTCGGCTGGGTTTTATAAAACCTTTTCGCTTTAGGCCTCCGCCGCCGTGTGCAAAAAAAAAAAAGGTTCAATCAGTCTTCAACTTCTCGTGAGGAAAAAAAGATCTTGCAAAGTTGGAATTGACTGATTGAACTTTTTAATCCCACCCAGTCTGCCGTTACCACGCAACCATATCCACCCAATGGGCCACACCCACCCGGCACTTGACGATGCATAAGTGGGTTTTGGGTTGCAGTCTGGGCACTCAGTCTCTAAAAGGTTCACCATCACTGGTATATGCTATTGTAAAATGAAATAAACTAATCATAAATAAAAAGGTGTTATAACATATAAATTAAAATGGGCCCAGATTAAATATCCAGTCAGTGGATATTAGAAATGGGAAATGTGTTGCTGATCCCGAGGAGCAACCTGTATTCTTAAATCAGTGTTAAGTTCTTAACAGTACACTGTAGCTAATGGAAGAGTGAGTAGCTCATTTGTCTGAGTTTCATTTGTGTTCATGCATTATAGAGTCTTTTAAAGATGCAGTCGGAAACGTCAAGAAACAGTTTTGTTATGTTAGATAATTTTGTCTATTTTCAGAATACTGTACAGTACCTGTCCAGGATGTTAGATGGAGTTTTCTTCAGCCCTGTTTGGAAGCATCAGGGATTAAACTTTAAATTCATTGTGCGTGTGGTGTATTAATGAACTTAAAGCTTTTTTTCTAAACAAAAATCTGATTTGAAAGAAGAATGGTTTCTTTATCAAAAGAGATAGGTCAGCTAGTATTTTTATAGCCACTATCAGGTACTTCGCTTGAATTAAGTCTCCATAATTCTCCAGTACAGGAGATGGATAATCCACGGATGGGTTTTCTCTGTCTGCCTGCTCTTGAGACCAAGTAGCCA